TCTCTCTCTTTCACTCTTTTTCTTTCTCTTGTCTGAATATGTGTGCTTGTGTGTACATGTGCTTACTTTACTTAGAATGAATAAACAACAGATATATAATAATGTATATGAAATGTAAAACTGTTTTTTTTTCTGGGATGTTTTAGTCACATTCAGTGAACATGAAAGGGTAAGGGTTTGAAAAATAAATATAAAAAATCAAATCAAATCCATAAATAAAAAAAATAAACAAAAGATCAACATATCAGAGTTCACAGTAAATAGCAAATTTCTCTAATTTGTCTTTCAATAAGTTAAATGAGATGTCTAATTGTCCCTCTTCTTCTTTTTTTTAACGAAAATACAAATAAAGACAAAGTAAAATTTCTCTGAGTGAATAAGGGAAACAGCAAACTCCAGAATTACCAGTGTGCGAACCTTCAGTCTCCGAGACACAAAGCCAATGAGCGAATTCCGAGCACAAGAGACGAAGCTGGCAAATCATACACTGGTAACACTGGCTAGCAAACTTAGCCACGGAGAGGACATTATATTTGGAAATGATGTTGCTGATGTGTCTTGATGTGTCTGAATCATTATTCTCTCTCAATCTTGATAAAACAGTCAAATATTAAATCTCTTTAAAAAAAAATCCATTGAAAAAAGAGAAAGAAACGAATACGATTTGGCTATATAACACGCACGACATAAAACCCCAACGCAAGGCTGAATTCAACTTGCTACAGCTCAATTTTTTTTTTTTAAAGGCAGACACAAGAGACACAAAACTCACATGGAAAACCAAAACCAATAAAAAACCGAATGCCTATCATCAGCCAACGGAACAGATTATGATGAAGGGATCTGATGGCGTGATGCTCTACCCCCCTCCCCCCTCTGCTAACGAGTTTATCCTTCATTCCCTCATCATTTCCAAAGTTCATCCTTTATTCCTCAGTCATTCCCAATCTCAAAAGCGAAAGGCAGACGACCACATTCACCACCCTTTCCCTCCTTTCCTACCTACTTAATCACTCTTTGTCCTATTTACTCTGCGTGCATGCATGCACGCACGCACACACACGCACACACACACACTCAAGCACATGCCTGTAAGCACATAGCCCAGATAACTTATCCCCACGACTCGGGATGAAAAACAATTAGCACCATAAATCATAACCCATTTCTTCCCTAATTTCTTGACTCCTTTTTCCTTCTTTTTACACTGGCAGTAAGTACTAACATTATCTATACTAAATTTAAAGAAATATAATAATGATAATAATAAAAGATAACACTGATAACACCCTAAACTAGAACTTCAACTAACAATATAAACGACAGGGAAGTTCTATAGAACAGTTAGCTAAGTATCGAAATGGAAGATAATCCTGTGCTTTGGATTTATTATCCCAAGGTCAGATCCAACATGGATTTTGATTAGTCAAAAACAGGTATCTTATGGATGAAAAAAAATTATTGATTGCATTCCTTATATGTATTAGCAAGACTACTTTTGAATATTCTTAGGCAGTTTAGTGAAAAAAAAAAAAAAATTACCTCACAATAATATATAAATACTATTTACAGAGCAGACGTACTGTCAAAATAAGGCAAGATGATGAAAAAAACTATAGTTTTAATATAAATGTATTATAAGCACAAGCATAGCTTATGCAACATGGATCTGTCCTGAGAGATTAACTTAGATGTGACTGATCTAAATGAAAAAGAACAGACTAAGAAACATAAATCATATATTGAACTTTGGAGGAAAAAATGCCTTTGAAACTTGATATGCATTCACATAACCAAATCCAAATAAATAAACAATACACAAACAAAATAAAAACATATACATATTGATATATGCTTCCTCCTGACTATCAGAACAATAACGATGAAAAATATAACATAGTAAATAAAACACTAGAAAAAATATAAAAACCAAGGCGAAGCTACAGCAGCACAAAAGGGAAGACAGACAGGGGCAGTTACGGAAGCAGAAAATACCACGAGGGAAGTCATCGTAGTCAAAGAGTCGTTATCTCCGTCCTGGGGAATGGGTGGTGAAGTGGAGGTGGAGGTGGTGGTGGATATGAGAGTGGAGATGGAGGTGGAGATGGAGGTGGAAGAGGCGGTGGTGGTGGTGGTGTTAGTGGTGACGAGGAGGTTGGAGGCAGAGGAGGTGCGAGAAGAGGTGTTGGTGTCCTCCCCCGTGCAGGAGGCCCTCGACAACAGGCTCGCTCTCTTCCCCGCTGGTGCCGCCGCTGTTCCCGGGGGTGAATCGAATGGGTGAGGTGGTGGTGGTGACGATGATGATGGTGAAGGTGGTGGTGATGGATGCTGTGGCGATGGGGGTGGGGAAAGGTGTCGGAGGTTTAGCTGGTTCTGATAGCGGGTGTGACGCTCCGGGGAGGAGTCTAAAGGCACCTTCTTGAGCTGCTTCATGCGTCGGCAGTGGTTGATGGCGTTGGCGCAGGCCATGCTCTCCACCACCCACGTGGCCGTCATGTAACTGTAACAAAACATGGAAGGTGAGAAAATCTTGATAAATAATGGACACCACAGAAATGGTGACAAGCTTACATATCAATAACAACAATAGATGAAGAAACTGCTGTAATGGTAATTAATGTGTAGACAATAATGATAAGAATCCGATAAGATTCTAAGAGAAATATAGTAAGGGAAATAACTAAAATCATGATAAGATACTAAACAGTGGTTATAATGCAATAAACAGACTGTGGCAATGAGGATTATTGTATATATACAATTAATACAGAGACAAAATAATAAAGACACTGATAAAAGGCATGGTTAATAACACTGAAAATAATACTGTAACTAATAATCAACTGATAGTGATAATGGTATTTGCTTTCATGTTGCAGACCATGGCATGAAATTACTTGATACAATCAGAATATAGAAATCAAGAATCCATTAAAGGCTATTCATAAATATATACAATAAAATAAACATTTACAGAATAACTCAGTGCCTTCCTATGTGCAAATTCCTAATTTTCCAAAACACACACACACACACACACACACACACACACACACACACACACACACACTCCTTCTCTCTCTCTCTCTCTCTCTCTCTCTCTCTCTCTCTCTCTCTCTCTCTCTCTCTCTCTCTCTCTCTCTCTCTCTCTCTCTCTCTCTCTCTCTCTCTCTCTCAAGATTATAAAAACAATCACCAAGATATAAAGTCAATCCAGATCACAATAACTGACAACTATACACGTTACAAGAACTCTCTTACCCCCTGCTTCTGTGTCACCAGATATCAACTATCTCCTTTCTTTCTTTCTTTCTTTCTTTCTTTCTTCCGAACCCCCTGCCTTTGTGCTTGTCTCCTTCCTTCCCTCCCCCTTCCTTGCTTCCTTCCTCCCTCCCTCCCTGACTCCCTGTTTCTCTCCCTCCTTTCCATCAATTTCCATCACTCTCTCCCTCCATCCCTTCCTCCCTCTTCCCTTCCTCCTGTCCTCCCATTTCCCTCTTCCCTCCCTCCCTCCCTCTCTCCCTTTCCCTCTTCCCTCCCTCCCTCCCTCCTTCTCTTCTCTGATTCCCTGATTCTCTCCCTCCCATTTCCCTCCCTCCCTCTCTCCCTTCCTTCCTCCCTCCCTCCCTCCCTCCCTCCTTCTCTGATTCCCTGTTTCTCTCCCTCCCATTTCCCTCCCTCCCTCCCTCCCTCCCATTTCCCTCTTCCCTCCCTCCCTCCCTCCTTCTCTGATTCCCTGTTTCTCTCCCTCCCATTTCCCTCCCTCCCTCCCTCCCACCAACCCGAATACACCCCCCTTCAAGCGATACCTTTCCCTGTTGTCACATTATCAGCTGTTTGTGGGGTCAGACGGCCGGCCCCCATATCACGCGGGTAGCGACAGGCTCTGTGGTCAGCGTTCACGGGTTGTGGGCACGGGAATGAGGGGAGGGGGGGGGGGGGAGGAGGAGAGGAGGAAGTAGGATGGAAGAAGGAGGGGGGGAGGGGGAGGTAGAATGGAAGAGGGAGGGGAGGAGGTAGGATGGAAGAAGGAGGGTGGGGGGGTAGGATGGAAGAGGGAGGAGAGGAGCAAAGGAAGAGAAGGGGAAAGAAGGGGAGTGGAGGGGAAGGAAAGGAGAGGGGAGAGGAGAGGAGAGGAGAGGAGAGGAGAGGAGGGGAGAGGAGGGTAGAAGACAGAAGATGAAAGGAGGGAAGGGAAAGAAAATGAAGAGGAGGCGAGACGAGGGGAAGCGAGGGGAAGCGAGGGGAGGGAAGGACGAGAATCTAGAAGGGTGGGGGGTAGAGAGAAGGGGAAGAGGGGAGGTACAGGAGGGAGAAAAGACAGGAGGGAGAGGGGGGGGGCACAAGAAGGGGGGGATGGGGTATAACAATGGCGAATCGTTTTAGAATCAATAGACAAGTATTTAAGAAAAAAAAAGATCATTTTAACAGACCGGAGATAAAAGGAACCGACTTACGGAATAAACAAAAAAGTGAAACGGTGTAACGAACGACCTTAAGAGAAGAGATAAAACTAAAAATACAAAAAAATCACTCAAACAAATATGAGAGAAACAAAAATAACAGTATAAAAGCCAACCCCCCCCATCCCTTACAGACTCTCAATTCCCCTCCACCCCAACTTCCCCCCCAATTCCCCTCCACTCTCACCCCCACCTCCCCCTTCCCCTTCCCCTTCACCCCCACCTCCCCCCTCCACCCCCACTTCCCCTTCCAACCTCTCCACCCCCACCTCCCCCTCCACCCCCACCTCCCCCTCCTCCCTATCCCTTAACATGCACCAAAAAGCATCATGTATATCAGCTGCCTCCGATCCCCCTGTGAACATCTGTCTGCATGACTCACACACATACACACTTACCCACGCCGACGCCGGTCTCGTGAGCGGGAGGAAGAGGGGGGAGGAGGAAGGAAGAGGGGGGAGGAGGAAGGAGGAGGAAGGAGGAGGAAGAGGGAGGAGGAGGAAGGAAGAGGGGGGAGGAGGAAGGAGGAGGAAGAGGAAGGAGGAGGAAGAGGGGGGAGGAGGAAGGAGGAGGAAAAGGGGGAGGAGGATAGAGGAGGAAGAGGTGGGAGGAGGAAGAGGGGGGAGGAGGAAGAGGAAGGAGGAGGAAGAGGGGGAGGAGGAAGGAGGAGGAAGAGGGGGAGGAGGAAGAGGGGGAGGAGGAAGAGGGGGGAGGAGGAAGGAGGAGGAAGAAGTGGGAGGAGGAAGAGGGGGAGGAGGAAGAGGGGGAGGAGGAAGAGGGGGAGGAGGAGGGATAGAAGAGGAAAGGAGGGACAAGGAGGGAGAAGGAGGGGTAGGAGGAAGGATAGAAGAGGGAAGGAGGGAGGAGGAGGGAGGAAGGAGGGATAAGGAGGGGTAGGAAGGGGAGGGGAGAGAAAAGGGGAGAATGGAACAAGAGTGAGAACGAGGGTGAGAGGGAAGGGATGGGGGTAGGAAGGGGAGGGGAGAGAAAGGGGGAGAGGGGAACAGGAGGGAGAACGAAAGAGAGAGAGAGAGAGAGAGAGAGAGAGAGAGAGAGAGAGAGAGAGAGAGAGAGAGAGAGAGAGAGAGAGAGAGAGAGAGAGAGAGAGAGAAAGAGAGAGAGAGAAAGAGAGAGAGAGAGAAGAGAGAGAGAGAAGAGAGAGAGAGAGAGAGAGAGAGAGAGAGAGAGAGAGAGAGAGAGAGAGAGAGAGAGAGAGAGAGAGAGAGAATGAGGAGAGAGATAGAGATAGATAGATAGATAGAGAGAGGGGGGGGGTGGTGAGAGCGTAGGAGAGGAAGGATGGGACAGCAGGGGGAGAAATGAGGGGGGGGGAGGTGGAAGAAGGGAGTGGGGGGGGGGGAGGGGCGAAGGAAGACCGAAAAAAAAAAAACGTTGGAGGAAAAATGTAGAAGAACCAACCAAAAGAAACGAAGCCTCCTTCCCTCCTTCCCTTTACCTCTTACCTCCTTCTCTCACTCTTCCCCTCTACTTTTTTTCCCTCCCTCTTTCCCTCCTTCCCTCCACCATCTACAACCCCTCACTTCTACCCCCCCACTCTCCATACCCCTACCTCCCTCCCTCCCTCCTTCCACCCCCAACGTCCCCCCCTTCTCCTCCCTCGTCCGCCTGACCCCCCCCCCTCCCTCCCCACCGCCTACACCCTCGAGGAGGTCCCTCTGGCGGCGTCTGGTGAGTGACGGTGACTCAGGGCGTCCCCAGCTTCCGTTGCTGCTCCTTCTCCTTCTCCTCTTCCTACGTCCCCCTCTTCTTCTTCTTCTTCTTCTTCTTCTTCTTCGTCTCCTTTCTTTTTCTGCTTCTTTCGTTTTTTCTTTCTTCTTCCTTTCCTCCTTCTTTTCGTTCTCTTTCTCCTTCCGCATCTGTTTCTCCTTTTTTTCTTCTTCTTCTTCTGTTTCATCTTCGTCTTGTTCTTCATTTTCATATTACTACTTTCAGTATTAGTATTACTATTATTATTATTATAATTATTAATATTATCATAATTATAATTATAATTATTAATATTATCATAATTATAATTATAATTAAAATCATCATCATTACTATCATTACCATTATCATCATTATCCCCATGATTCTCACCATCATTACATATTTATCATTATCATTATCATTCATTTCTCCCTCCCTTTCCCTTTCCTCCCTCCCACCGCATCTCCCCATCCTCCCTCCCTCCCTCCCTCCCTCCCTAATCCCAATGACCTTCTGACACCCATCCTAAATACACCCCCCACCCCTCTCCCTTACCTCCTCCCTACCACCCCCTCCCCCTCCCCCATCACCCCTTCCCTACCATCACCCCTTCTCACCCCCTCCCTCCCCCTTCCAAACCAGCTCTCAAATCCCCTCCCCCTCCTCCCCATCACCCCCTCCCCTCCCCCCCCTACCCTTTCCCCTAGCAGGATATGGTTTATAAGCTCACCCCCCCCCCCAATCCCACAGAAGTCGCGACTGCCTGTCACTCAACTGGCATCGATGTTGTGTCTCTGGCTCGCGCGACGGGGAGGTGGTGTCACGACGACACCGACTGTCATTTGTCTGCGTGTGTGTGCGTCTCGCGCGCTCTCGCTCTCACGCTCTCGTTTTTCTTTCGTTTGTTTGTTTGTTTGTGTGTCTCTCTCTCTCTCTCTCTCTATCTCTCTCTATCTCTCTCTCTCTCTCTCTCGCTCTCTCTCTCTCTCATCGAACATCGTCAAAGTTGTACAAATCCGTAAAAACAGCAACAACAACAACAACAGAAATGAGCAGGCCGAGCGCCGTAACTCTTAAACGAAAAGTATTCTGAACAAAACATTTTTTGTACAACTATATCTTCTGTACAAAAGATCATCAAAAATAAAAAAATAAAATAAAAAATAAATAAAAAAATAAGACAAGCGATTTACAAAACAATTCTTGCAGCCGCCCCCCCCCCTCTCCTCCTCCCCTTAAATATCACCTTTCTTTCCCCCTCTCTCTTTTATTCCTTCCTTTCTTCCTCCTCTTCTCTCTTCTCTTTATTCCTCCCTTTCTATACTCC